TACCCTGTTCAGGGTATAATAATATGACAGTTTGACACGACTCTCGCGGGATTTGTCAAAAAAGCTTTTGAAAAGTGTGCCTCTACTTGTATCATCCGTTAAATAGTTAAAAACATATGTGTGAATTTAGAGATGAATCACCATAAAGTAAGGGTGAGGTTTGGGCAACAGAACAGTTCACTTAGCAGTGATGATCGGTTTAGTAGGATATTCTAAATCTCAGATAGTGATAATGCTATGTAACTTTTAGAAATATATGTATGATATATATTCAAAGCTCCAGCAAAATACCGGACATTTTGGGATTCAGCTGGACTACCTTAGCAAATTTCATTAAAAAGATGTTGTGTTACGGATTCTCCTCCGAGGGTCTTGCCTGTGAGATCGCTTTAAAACCTCGTCAGACATTAAAAATGCCCTTGTGATGCGACAGAAGTGATAGCAAATGCGTCAATGATTCGCCGGTGGCTCAGATAGGCAATATATAACGTCTGRCATCATGCAAAAAAACTTTTTATGAGGCAATGGATCAGATGGTATCCACCGTGTATGGAGAAGGTCAGGAAATGCTTTCTAGCCACAGTACACCAACCAATCAGCAGGATGATCTAGGGCTGTTTTTCTTAAGAAGTACCAAAAGATACMTATGTATTAATTTAATTGAACGAAGAGTCAAAGGTGGTATACAAAAACCATGATATTCTTCATCGAAGCACTGTATCAACACCAAAACGACGCAATTTTTCAGCACTATTCTGAGCTACTTTGTTGTGTTTATTTGGGTCACGATTTTATGACTGAAAAAGTACTAATGCAGTACTAAACAGGTAAAGCACAGAAGCCAAAGGATCAGGAAGAACTGAATTATGTTCTTCGAAGTCGATATTTCCCAATAAATAGAGTAAAATTATAAAATAAAAACACATGCTCATTTTGATACTACAATTTTAATGAGTCTTGTGATCGATACTGTAGAATATTTCTAATTTTACTAATATGAATAAAATTGAAAATTAAAATAAAATTTTGATAAATCATTTTTTTTATTGCTTTTTACAAATCCAAATAAACTCTCGTTTTCACTTTGCCTCTAGGATGAATATTTTAGCTCATATTCAATTCTCTATTTTAAAAGTACAAACATGCATTAACTCCATATTCCTCTTTATGACGATATACGAGCATTTTTACCTTCGACAAGACGACTTATCATGGTGCTCGATACGGTGTTTTCGCCAAAGGCCACTTGAAATGTGAGACGATTGCCTGAGTATGTTTGGTAATAAAAATGTTTAAGTTTTATGGTATTATACACAGTTCACTTTATAACCCTAGGCTGGGTATTAGAGCAAAACAATTATTCTCAAGTTATTGGGTAAAAGATTTTTACGTTTTTGGATTTTTCTCAAAAATCTAAATATTTCTTTCTAGATTTGAAATTGCGGTTGTTGAAAACTATTATATAGTATATAACCAACTTATCAAGTAAAACTGTGACCATCCCACACATATTCATCTCATTGGACTGTTGTACGATTTTCGGGTTCCATTTGATGCGGTTTGCCCCCTTGCATTTACCACCAGGTTAGTACATTTCCTACGGGGCTGGTAGTGCTTATGTATCAGTGACATGGCCAAACATGACGCTCGGATACAAGTATGAGTGCCGTCATAAATAAATTGTTTTGTAAATATACTCAAATGTAGGTTTATTTATACACATACCGTTTTGTTGTTGATGTACCATGTAAGCGTCGTTGCGGGATTGGACCAATCTGAACTGCAGTTAACTGCCAGAAAATCCCCATATCGGTACGGATGCACAATGCCGTTGATGAACGGTCCGAATTTGGGTAGAACTGTAAATAAAACAAATAGCAGTGAAAAATCAGCTGAACCGTAAGTTGTTGTACTATGTAGGAAGTACATATGCGCATACATATGTGGGTTTATTAGAGTGTTCGTTACTTTCCAAGTTAATTTTTTTTGCAAACGTTTTTGTTCGTAAAAAGTTGTACGCAGTTCTGTTGAAAGTCATACGGAGTCAAAATTCTGCATCAAATGAACTGTGTTCTTAGAGTACACCATGTCGTATGAGCAACATAGAATGCATAAYTCACTTCTCTTCGGTTATTTGAGGTACATATACATATATGTATGTATGTATAATTTTAACTGAAAATAAAACTAAAAATAAAAAGCTTATTTACGTTGGATCCTTTTTTTGTTCAAAAATTTAAACTTAATTTTATTTAATAGGACCCTTCCACACCCACAAACCACCATTAATCGAAAACATAGAAAACGTCATAACTAAGCACTAAATTAAGATATAAAACTCTATTTTGGTGCAGAGCGTTGCAGTATCTAGGGTGCAAATATTTAAAAAGTGGAAACAGGATATTTTTCATGAGGTTGGATGTTGGATGTATGAATGTTTCTGTCTGAAAAAAAAAAAAAAAAAAAAAAAAAAAAAAAAAAAAAAAAAAAAAACAACAAATTGAAAAATGTAGGGCATACTTACATGTAGAGATTGTCGTAAAAATGTATAAGATTATATATTTTTAAAAAGAATAATTTTTCAACCCACTCTAATAAACATACTATATGTACCAAATATGCATGGTAACATTAAAGCCTTGATATGATTGGAAACAACACATTGCAGTGGGAGGAACAGGCCGTAAGCCAGCTTGTGGAATAGAGTCATAGCGGAGATGAATATGGTAATGCAAGCACTTTAAGTCAACAGTCATAAATTACTGCCACAACAAAATGTGCGCATACAACAGCTTTCCGAAGCACTTACGCATACATTCATACACACAYRCACACGAATGTTCGAAAATATTTTAAGTAGAAATTTATATAAATTTTTATTAAATATAAAATCTATATTCATATCCATTCACACTTAATGAACGCAAACATCCCTAGATATACATRCGCTCATGCATCTGCAACTGGATGTGCGTGCCAGTGGCTCGGAGCATCGCCTATCCATAAATTAAGTGCATAAAATAAAATTCGATTTGTTTACGTCACAATGGCTTATGTCAAAGCCAAAAGCATGCACTAGCATTTATAAGCGCATCCTTAACTAATATCAGCCGTTCCTCRCACACACACACACACATCTACTYATACAGCGCCTCTACTTATGACACGTTTTCACAGAGATGTGTGTGCATAAATTTTCTGTGTGAGACAATGTGCACATAGGAGCTTTAAAACATTTTCAAATGGATTAAAATGGATTTTGCCYCAGCAACAACAAAAATATTTGGCTTTACTCTTGTGCTCGTATGCAATTGGAAAATTGGGAATAATGTCATTTATGTACATATATAAGTAAAATTTATGACACTTTCACCAGATTGACCCTTTTTGATGGTGTTTTGTTGTATTAGTTATTGCRTTTTTAAATGACAAAAAATATTATTCCAAGTAGCTTCTGATATGGGTGAAATATCTGTTCCCAGCAACAAAACCTTTTACTTTACAAAAACAGATTTTCAAAGCAAAATATTTGGTCAAGTTTGAATGGAATACCCACTCACATTTCGTTTGATTATTTAAAGAAGGAGGCAGATGATCCGAGTAATAGAATAGTCCAAAAGTGGARCTGCAAAGCTTTGAATCTATTCCTCCTATTGATTTTTAAATATATTACCATGAAGGAATATCACTTTGATCTTCAGTTATGTATTAAGAAGTCGGTATCTGTTATTATGACTGTACCAACTATTTTTATACCCTKAACGGGGTATATTAAGTTTGTCACGACGTTTGTAACACCCAGAAGCAAGGGTCGGAGACCCTCTAAAATATATATWTAATATTTAAAAGATCAGTATGTACGAGGGCTGCTATATATATTTCTGGCCTAATAATGAAAATAGGAATATTTATCAACGAAAATGGTTTTATTGTTTTTCAAAATATTCTCCATCAAGATTTATACACTTTTGCATGCGCTCAAACCAATTTTCGAAGCACTTTTTCCACTCCGATTGATACACCTCGAAAACATGGGTTTTGAATGCTCGACAGCATCTTCTGGCGACGAAAATCGTTGAACATCGTTGTTATTTTCTTGATGTGTGGGAATAAAAAGAAGTCATTGGGTGCTAAGTCAGGGCTGTACGGCGGATGACCCATCAATTCAACGTTTTGGCTGGTCAAAAAGGCGCTGGTTTGAGCCGAGGTGTGAGATCTCGCATTGTCATGTGCACAATGATTCGTCTTCTCTTGTTCGTTTTTCGAATTTCTCTGAAAACTTCAGGCAAACAAATGGTGGTGTACCACTCAGATTTGACCGTCGTACGTTGCTCAAGCGCAACAGTCGCCACATGACCAGTTTTGCGGAAGAAACAGGCGACCATTTGCTTCGAAGTGCTTCTTCCACGAACAACTTTCRTTGGATTTGGCTCGGTCGATTGCTGTTTTGTTTCGGGCTCATACGCATAGATCTATGATTCGTCACCTGTGACGATCTTATAAACGTCTTTTGAAGCAMCGCGATCGTATTTTTTCAGCATTTCTTTACACCAATCCACACGAGCCTTTTTTTGAGCAATTGTCAAATTGTGCGGGATCCAACCAGAACCAACCTTTTTTACGGCCAGGTTTCATGCAATATCGAATGTATGCTGGTGCGAGAAATGCATAGGCATGCCTCTATCTGAAGGTATGTTACATGGCGGTCTTGCATTATCAGTTCACGTACGGCATCGATGTTTTCTGGCACAGCGGCTGTTTTTGGACGACCTTCTCGGAATTCGTCTTTGAGCGAGCGTCGGCCACGATTGAATTCGTTGTACCAGTTTTTCACAGTGCTAGATGGTGCTTCATAGCCATACAAAGATTTTAGTTCATCGATGCACTCTTGTCGAGATAATCTACGTCGAAAGTAGTGAAAAATTATCGCACGAAAATGTTCACGAGTTAGTTCCATAATTTAATGAATTTTTTAATTCCCTGTAAATAAAACAATTCACGATTATATGACAACACGTTCTGAGTGATGTTACGTTAGAAAATGTCAAACTTTCCAATGGAAATGTCAGATTGCACCTGGCAACACTTAGTTACACTCCGTATACGAACTAGTCCCTCAGTTTTTAGGATATCGTTTTAAAGTTTTGCACTTTCTCTTCAAGAAGCTGCTCATTTGTCGGAACTGCTGATATCGGACCACTATAACATATAGCTGCCATACAAACTGAACGACCGGAATCAAGTTCTTGTATGAAAAACTTTCACTTTTGACAAGATATATTCACGAAATTTGGTATAGATTATTTTCTGAGTCAACAATGTAATCTCCGAAGAAATTGTTCAGATCGGATTACTATAGCATATAGCTGCCCTACAAACCTAACGATCGGAATCAAGGGCTTGTATGCAATACTTTCGCATTGGACGTAGAATCTTCACGAAATTTGGCATGGATTACTGCTTTAGGTAACAATATCATCTCCATAAAAATTGTTGAGAAAGGATTACTATAGTATATAGCTTCCATACAAACTGAACACATAGTTACTAACAGAAATGCACCTGTGAAGGGTATTTAGCTTCAGTGCAACCGAAGTTAACGTTTTTTCTTCAAACTTCTTGTTCCCTTCATATGACATTTTCATTCGATGGTCTATGTTGAGAGCCATGCTGGAGGCTGTGGACAAAGCTGAGCTCCTGCGTCGCTCTAGGGCTCGCGTCTGGCTGCCAGCTGAATCTCCTCTCCGAATGAGATTGAGGCAATCCTCAAATAATTATTATCCACGCATGACTGGAGGATAATAAGGCTGGAGAGCAAGGGCTGARGGAGCCATAAGCTATGGGTTTGAAAGGGTAATCCTCAGAATACTCCCGACGGAGGCCAAAGCTRCTGACGTTCAGGCTTCAGATGCGCTGGATATGACAGAAGATGGTCAAACGGCCTTGGAGAACGACCCGAGTCTTTCGGACATAGGGGGTTTTGGTCAGCGGTTTGAGGAAGTTCGTTTCCAGCACGACGTGAGCGCTGAACTACAATAGTACTTCTGAGGCAGAGTCTGAAGGATGGAATTCCTCCAGATTAATTTCCAACATGCGAAAGCGGCCTCCGCCAATTTACAAGAAATTTCGTCTAAAACAAGGTGAACCTAATGTCGCCCTGATCCAGGAACCATGGCTGACGAATAATGGTATCTCTGGACTGAGGACTGAGGTAGAACCAGAGTCTACACGATGGTCCGAAATTAACGGTATTTCTTTTACCTAATTTCTGTAACGTAGTAACGTAATATGGTGATGCCTAAGCTGGAGTGCGATACCGGAGAWTTCTCGTTAATCTCTGCGTACATGTCGCACTTCGATGAGGTGGAACCGCCTCCTTTACTTTGGCTGAGGCAGCCAGACGTGAGCCATAGTTCAAGAAAGAAGACCGGCGTCGTCGTTGGTTCCGACGCCAACTATTATCAGATGGAAAAATTTATGTATCACATCCAGCTCCTTTAAAAAATATTTCGTAATCTAACAGTTTAAGGATATTAACGGTTAAAATTTGATAATTTAACGAAAAATTTTTGTTTGTGAATTTTATGTGGCACCTTKCCAATTAAGTGATCGAACATTCCAGGTACAGGTCCTTAAATATTTGCAGGCGTCGTGATCAAAAGGGGAGCTCGCTCATTTCATTGTTGGTTTTTTAAGTTTTTGGATTGGGTTATTTTTTATGTGGCGGATGCCACATCATTTAGATCTGAGAATATATCGCAAAGCTTGCATAAAATCGGGTGATTGAAAATTATATTATTGGATTTTTTTTTTTTTATTTGTGAAGGGTATTCTATCCTCGATACAACAAAAGATAATG